ATCTTTACCATAGTTTTTGCGTGTTCATTGGCTGTATTCGTGTTTGTTATGGACACTGAAAGCTAAGGGCTGGACCCAGGAGTTAGCCCTTTGGCCCTCAAACCACTCCAGGTCTTTTTTTCCAGAGAATGAGGTCTGGTTTGGGTCCATGACCCCCAAAATGTTAGTACGTGTAACTTATTTGTAGATTCCCTTGATGGGGATTTCCTTTCTCTTGGCTTAAAAGTAATTCATTAAGAAAAACCTATGGGTTTCTATTTTAGGGGCATTTAAATGTGTTACTCCATTATTTTATTTAAACAGATAGATCTTGGTGAAGAAGGGGCTAAATGAGTAGAATAATGACTTCTACTTATAAAAACCTCTACTTAGAAAAATATATATAGATTTTTTAAAAAACTAGCCATATAGGTCCATACATTTGTTTTGCATTTCTACATAGATATAAAAAGTTTTATAAACTCAGAAAATATTGGCCTTTTTAAAATGCTAAATTGGTCAGGTCCTCCTTGAAAGGCTCTCCCTGTGTAAGTTATAACCTGGCCCTAAGCTACCTTCCCAGTTTATCCCCTGTGTCTCCCCAATCATACCCTGCAATCTGGAGACACCGGGCTGGGCGAGCTTCCTAGATCCACCATGTTTCACACTTGTCCTCGCCCCACTCACGTGTCTGCGCTGCCTGCTTTGTCTAGATGGCCAGCAAGGGGAGGTGCTGTTCTGGCTGCTCTTCTCACAGGACTTACTCCATTGGCCTCCGAGACTCAGTGGCTTCTTATCTGGCGGTCTGAATGCTGTCGCTGCTGTGGTCTGTGGGTGTTTATCTCGAGGTGCTGTGGCTGCCTGTGTTCTCCTTGGACCTCTTCTTATCAACTGTGAGCACCCGAAGGATGGATTGGATTCATCTTCAGTTGCCACTCAGCAGCAACTCAACCACTCTGCCAGATTATTCCCCCGAAGATTGCTTGATCATTTGCTGTTTTCTTTAGAAAATATAACCAGACTTCAAATGTAGAGTGGAGATGAATTATTTGTCCACAACTCTCCAACCGTAGCCTGTCTTAGTGTTTATTTTTGCCTTTTCAGTATTTTTCCTCTGCGTTTTGCTTAGTTGTAAGCATAGTATATATCTTTGCTGCTGTCTGATCTTCAAAGTCCTCATCTTTAATGATTCTTTAACATTTCACCGAGTGGATATAGCATAATGTACTTTCCCTTTGAATATTTCGGTTTCTGTCTCTAAGTTTTAATATATACGGCTCTCATAATGATAGATTGGATATATTTACAAGCTAAGAATGCCAGAATCAAAAATCACGTGAGCAGGGCGCACAGTGAGCAGGCTGCACAGGACATGCCCTGTAGTCAGGCTCGCAGTCCGATCATCAGGACAGGGTGCAGGGCCTGTGGCCACAGACAGGAGCGCTGGCTGTGTTTACACATGTTCCTTCCAAGTTTTGACCCATCACTCCTGAGGAGAGAAGCTCTGTGGGCAGAGGAAGGATCCGAGCATTGGGATTCTGAAAACCTTGTTACCAGCTGAGCTCTGTGTCCTCTGGGCAGCATTGCACCTTAACTGCTCTGAACACTTCATCTGTACAGAGGATGTCTGTGGCATGTGATTCTTATAAAAATAAAAATATATCCAACAAGGGGAACAAATAGATTTGTGGGATTTTTGCTGTGGGGTTGGCACTGAAATTTTCTTGTGCTGTTTCATCAAATCCTTAGAGCAACCCTATAAGAGGAGCTGAAAGAGACTAACTTGCTCCAAATCACACTGCTAAGTGCTGAGATCCAAACCCAGTTTGGAGTTCAGACCTCCCAAGTCCTTTGTCCTGAGGCTTCCTAGAGAGACATCTTCCCACCAGATACCTGTGTGCTCTGAAATCATGCACAAGGGCCAACCCCAAGGTCTCTGTACCGAGGCAAGTTCAGGGAAGAAAAGCACTTAGAAAAAGATGGACATACTGAGCTGTTTAGAATATTTTTTATTATTGACCAATATTTTGTAAAACTCATTAAATCTCTGATAAATAGTGAATACAGTTGTTAAAACCTGGCTTCAAGATGTGACATTGGCATGAGACAGGCCAAAATAGGTGGTTCTATAAATGGAGAGTTGACTAAGACCCTATGAGAGGATGCATGGATGGGGTGGGTATCAATAAAAGGAGACTTTGTAAGGAATTGGGTGTGTTCTATCCCAGGGCTGTGGCATTCCTAAGGAGATGTGAATGTTACAGAACTCGAAGGAAAGAGGGAGAGGCCAGTGGTTCTTCTGGCAACATGAGGATGAACCAGAATGAGGGGTAACCCAGGACTGAGGGACTTGCTGGGAGATGTTTGCAGCCTTTTAGACAAATAGGAAAGGAAGCTATCTTATTACAGATGTAGAATTAACCAGATTTATTTATTTATTGGCATTCTCTTTCTAAAATATATGTCAGAATGTGTGAGTATCGTGTAGGGTTAGGGGCCTTTGTTTTGGAATTGGTCTTTCTGGGTTTGAAGCCCCAGCCCATGTGATCTCGGATAAAGTTACTTAAGTTACCTAAACTTCATTTTATTTATCTATAAAATGGGGAGAATGATAGTAGCATTCATAGCATTGATTGGTTGGGAGGTATCCTATATAATAAAAGGCTAATATGCAAATTGTCCCCTTGGGAGTTCGACCGACCGGGAGTTCGACTGCTCGCTGTGATGTGCGCTGACCACCGGGGGGCGGCGTGGAACTAAGGAAGGTCTCAGCCAGCAGCTGGAAGGCCCCGATGGTCCCTGATGGCCGGCCAGGCCTAGGGACCCTACCCATGCACCAGGGCTCTAGTAAATGAAATAATGCATGTCAGTGGCTTCAAACAGAGTAAGTATTAGATCTTCACTGCCTATTGGATAATGTCCCAGACTCTTGTAGTCCTCTATGATCTGGCCCAATTCCACTCCATAATCCCTATGCCAGAGGTCCAAATGCCTTCCAGAGCCTGGCAGGTAAAATGCAAGCTAGGTGAGGCTATGGCAAACCGAGGGCCTTTAGATGGAGCACCTGCTGCTCACTCTGGCAGCCATTAGCTTTGTGGGAGAGAAAGCCCAGTGTGGCCCTTTGAAGGGATGCTGGAAACCTGGAATTTACATGAAACCTCCCGGTTATTACATGTGGACAATTAAATCAGAAACCTTAACACTGTAACACCAAGCAACGCCCACCTGCAGGCTGGATATGGTTGTCAGCTTGCACTCCCTGCTTCAGGCCCCTCCCCAGCCTTGCAGCCTGCTTCCTCGTCCTTGGACAGACTTGATTCCCTTGGGCATAGTGCTTTTAGATGTGCCAGCCACTCTGCCTGGATTGGCCTTGGTGCTTTCTCTTTTGAACTGGTTTGTTCTTTTAGACTTGGCTCAACCTAACTATTTTCTCTGAACTCGCCATTTCCTCCTTTGTGATGCCATAGCTCTTACAGATCATTCTATTCTAGTACTTAAGTCTATATGCAGTGTCTACTCATTCGCTTGTTTATTTAGAAAAAAATAATTATGAAGCACCAAAATGTGTACCAGCTACAGCTGAAAACTAGAGTCCTCCTTCCCTGGTGCCTGTTTCTGGAGTGATGGTCATGTGTCAGTCCTCCCTCAAGAGGGTGAGTGAGCTCCTTGAGGGTTGAGACCATGTGGTAGTTGTCTGGTTTCCTTAGCAATTAGCCCAGGGAGTCTGATACCCAGTGTATTAGTAGTGTCTTCTTGCTACTGTAACACATTTTCACAAACCTAGCATCTTAAAGCAATACAAACATATTACCTTACAGGTTTGGAAGTTTGGAGCCTGAAATGGTCTCACTGGACTAAAATCACGGGGCTGGCAGGACGACATTCCTCCTGGAGGCTCTAGGGGAGAAAGAACCTGTTCCCTTGCCTTTCCCAGTTCCCAGCGGCTGCCTGCATTTCTTGGCCGCATCCTCCTCCATCTTCAAAGCAAGAAGTGTAGCACCTTCAAATCTGTCTCTATTTTTTTTTTTTGCCTTCCTCTTCTTGTAATTATCTTGGGATCACCTGGATATTCCAGGATACTCTCCCAATCTCAAGGTCATCTGATTAGCAACTTACATAATTCTATCTGTAACATTCATTTCCCCTTGCCATGTCATGTGACATATTCACAAGTTATGGGGATTAGAACATGGGCACTTTGGGGGAGACCATTATTCTGCCTACCACAGCTGGGAAGATGAATGAATGAATGAATGAATGAATGAATGAATGATGAATGAGACTCTTATAGGGTGGGAACTAGTGTTATGCTAGCCACAGGAAGGCAGAAAAGGTAGTAAAAGTCTCAGACCTGAAGGAGTTGGTGATCAACTGAATTGCAGCTTGTGGTGGTGGCTGTGATTGGGGGTTTTCCAAACCTCCCTTCTCAGATGAACCGTTCTCTGACTTTTACAATCTTTCTCTGACATCCCGGAGTAAGATCAGACCCCTTGTTTTGTGCTCTTAAGGTACCCTCCTTCCGCGTATTTTATACTTGTGCTGCTAGTTCAATCAATGCCTTTCACTAGATTTCACAGGTAATGAGTGGGATAAGACATATCTGTCTTCTCTCTCAGGGTATAGCATTGAACAGAGTGCCTGGCATATGGTCGGTGTTGAAAAGTTTCTGGAAAGAATAAATGAATGAGTGAATGAAGAAGTAGAGAAGCATGAAGTGTTTAAACCACCTGCTTCTTGTTCTGCATGGGGGCTTTGTTACCTGGGACCGGGGACTTTCTGACGTGGCACACAAAGTCGGGAGGGAAAGCATAGGTTCTTTTTCCCCAGAGGCGGGCAAAGAGCCTTGATCAGAGTCTCAACAGAGTCCATGACCAACACTTGGGAAGGAGCTCTGCTCTAAGCGTGCAGAGCGCAGAGACAAGGGAACCTGGCCACCGTACTGACAAGGAGCACAGTGACTGGGAAAGACGCAGGCTTCTCTGATAACGCTAACTGGGCTTTGCATCTTTTTCCATCTCCAGATGAGGAGAGTGTGCTGCCTCTCCTGGCACAGGACTCGAACTCCAAAGCTCGGAGGGGCATTTTAAGAAGAGCCGTCTTTTCTGAGGACCAGAGAAAGGCTCTGGAGAAAATGTTTCAGAAGCAGAAATATATCAGCAAAATAGACCGGAAGAAACTTGCCATCAACTTGGGACTAAAGGAATCACAGGTACTGAGGAGCAGGAAGATGGCCACCGCTCCTGATTTCTGAGTGAATATGATGGGAGCCATCCATTTGGCAAATACTTGTGGTACCAGGCTGGACCCTGAAGCATTATTAAAATGATTTTCATAAGTTTTTTAGTGGGTGCAGATATAGGTCACAATTCCTATTTGGAAATGGGTCCATTTGCCGAGAGGTCTAGGTTTTTGCCTCATTAATTCTTGTAAATGTAATGTAAATGCTAAGGATGTGGCATTTACTTCATTAAACTGTTTGCTCTGCTTTTATTTTAGAAAAGCAGGCTACTTAATTCCCTACAAAAACAGGAACCAAGTTTCCTGTCTTTTTCTTAATTTTTAATCCAAAACCAAGGTTTGAATGAGTGAGTCATAAGTAACTCTTAATAGATTTCATTATTTTGTACTTTGGGTTTATGTCAAGTATAGCTATAGTTTATACCTCTTATTCCCCTTCACCATCTTCACTTATTCCCCAATCTTGATCTTTTTTGCTCAGGCACAGTTGGCTACCCTATAGGTAAAGAGGGAGGTTCATAGAAAAAAGAGACTCCCATAGGGTGGTGGGAAGGTATGGCTCAAATTAGAAACCACTCATAAGTACTTTGGGGTTAATTACAATCAATTGTTATCTATTGAGCCTAATTATTCCAGTTTGATAAATTCTGGGAGTAATCAAATTTGGAAACTGTATAACACCTGAAGTTTATCAAAACATTGTAAAATATATTCTTAATTTAGTCTCCAAAAGTTCCTGTTGAGATCCAAATGCTTATGAGTCTGGGCACTAGAACGGGACAGTCGTGTATTCTAGTCTAAGCACCGTGCGACCTGGAACTATTTATCGCTCTGAGCCTCAGTGTTCTTGCATGCTAATGAGGACTTCTTGAAGACATTCTGAGGATCAAATTCCGTAACCCATGTAGAGTGCATGGCCTGACCCTGGTACAAAATAAACACTCAGATGCTATTACCAGTAGATAACATTTCCTTTGAATAAATAATGTAGCACAAACTAAATGATTTAAAATATTGAAGAGAGTTAAATCAGTCTTGGAAGGTATTGGACTCATATGATGTAACCGATTTACCACAGTTGTCTTGGTTTTTAAGTATATGTGGGGATATTGTACTAAAGTACTTTCTCAGTTATTTTTGGAGAAGCCCAAGTCAAAAGCCACAAGGATTTTGCTAGGCTGGCTGTCATGATAAGGTAGTCTGTAGAAGGCCCAATAGGAGAAATGAATAGTGTCAAATGCTGAAGCGAATGAATGTCGAATAAGTGAACATTTTATTCAATTATCTTATCAATAGGTGAAAATTTGGTTTCAGAACAGAAGGATGAAGTGGCGGAATTCCAAAGAAAAGGAAGTGCTTTCCAACAGGTGTGCCCAAGAAGTAGGCCTTCAGGAGGACGCCCTCTCGCGCTCCGCTCTGGGCTTCGCTTCTCCGTGTCCTTCCCTCTGGGACAGCTCCCAACAGCACTCGAGTCCCAGGTGGAGGGAGAATTTCCCAGAACCTCCAGAAAGACTAATCCAGGAGAGTTCGGGGGCACAGCCCCCAGAAGCCAATTCACTGCGAGGTGCCTTATATTTGTGTTCTGAAGAAGAAGCTGGAGACAAGGGCGTACTTACCGTCTGAATGGAAGCGTTCCTTCACGTTAATTTAAAAGAACACTTAACTCATAATGTTTGGACTCTAAAGCCAACTAGCTTGTGCCTCATCAGTGCCTAAAACCTAACACCGTTGGAGTGATGCAGGAATTAATGCTTTAGGAAACTTTTTCCAGTGTTCTGTTATTTGGGTCTTAAGACTCAGACTTAATTTGTAAGTGGAATAGAATCTCCCAGAAAGTATGATGGAAGTGAAAAATGAGAGTGGTAGTTGGCTCAGTCTAAATATGTGTATATATATGATGTGTCTCTATGTGTATATGTATATAAATAGTCATTAAAATATATTAGTAGAAACACCAGTTCCTTTTTAAATACCGCATTGAGCAAATTCATCTCCTTTTACATGAAGAAAAACCAACCATTGACCAAATGCTATTAATTTTTTAAAAATACTATAAAAGTTGGATTTTAGTCCAAATTTGTATATCATCAGAACATGTTTTTAAAATTTTTCTATTTTCTGGTTTCATTCAGGAACCAGCTGTAAATGAGTTTTAACAACTCAGCACTCCCAATCAAATGAGCCACTGCTGGATACATACATTGAAAGTGTATGTTTAAAATTAATCCAACAAGCAAACTAGAAGAACTTCTGAATGTACCTATTAGTATTCTTAATTTCCAAGTCTCTGGATTTTATCAGGCCATCAGTGAGGGAGGTACCCATTTAACCAATGATTATCTTTTGAGCTCTTTTCTCTAAGGATGGGCCTTAATCAGGGTTTGCAAAGTAAAATGCCTCTCAGGGCCTGTCAGATTAAAAAAAAGGGGGGGTCATGACCCACCTAAAGATATTTGAGTTTTTTAAAAAAGTGTGTTGGCAAACAAACCATCTGTGCCAAGCTATTTGTGACCTCCAGCCAAGACTTCGAGAAGTGTCACAGTTTTTTAAATGTTCCAATTGGACTTCAGAACACAATATTGAAGGAATCTATAGTGATTTCTCTTTGCACTTCTACGTATAGACTTGATTTTTCCACTTAGGTGGTATAGACTATATATATTAGGTTATTTTTATGTATTAACAAACACCATACAGATGTTTTATGTTTCTGAAGTACCCTGAAATAGTATTATTATAAAATTGCCTTTCTGGTAACGATTTGCTTAGTTAATCTAGAATTTTTATTCCAGGTCCAAGAAAAAATTATGTTTTACTTTGAAGGAAATGAGGCAGAGAAAAGGAAATGATATGGTTTGAACTAGGTTATTATTAATCTGCAGACAAGAAACAGTATTAGAAGTTCGTGATGTGGCATCTTGTTAGTGAGAAAGCTGCATAAAGAGAGTGGCTTCTAATTTGCTTACGTTTTTAACTATAGACTTGGAAGGTTTAGAAAAGAGTATTTCACTATGCTGTACACCTGAAACTAATATAATGTTGAATACAGCTGTAATTGAAAAATAAAACAGTACAAGAAAAGAAAAGGTAATATTTCAGAAGATAATAGCTTTAGTCAGCATCAGGAAATTATTTTCTATGAATGGAATTTGAATTGGTGTATGCTAGCTTGTGTCTTTATCACAAGATCTTTTATTTAAAACTCATCTCAGAAGAAGCTTCTCAGTGCCTCTTTGCGGGAAGTAGAGGCAGCGATCTTCTGACAACAAAGTACATTTTTAAATTAAAATGCTCTTCATTTTTAAGTTATTAGTTTCAGGTGTACAACATAGTGATCAGACATTTATATAACTTATGAAGCAATCACCCTGAAAATGATTTATAGTGTGGTTTCTTTTCTTTATTTGATGTTAACCTCATTTACATTTAATGGGTCCTTTCTATGTGCTATGCCTTTAGGGTGGGTTAACTCATGACAATAACCGTATGAGTAGGCACTGTTACTATCAGGATTCCTATTACCCAGACAGAGGCCTGAGGCAATGTGGTTAGGGTGATTGCCCATGGTCATGAGGTTAATAATTGAAATTTGGACCCTGAAGTTTCAAATCTTGAAATCTTACCAACTACGTGGGGGTGCATACCACTGTGGGATGCATTGTAAGACGTAACATTTTGAGGATTGTAGTGAAATTTATTTTAAAAATTCAGAACCACATTGTACTTTACAAGCTCTTATTTGAGGAATGGTTTTCCTTCAGTATTCTCTTCTCTATTCATTTTAAAGCAGTGGTTCTCAACCTTCCTAATGCTGCGACCCTTTAATACAGTTCCTCATGTTGTGGTGACCCCCAATTTCATTGTTACAAATTGAACATAATTAAAGCATAGTGATTAATCACAAAAACAATATGCAATTATATATGTGTTTTCCGATGGTCTTAGGCGACCCCTGTGAAAGGGTCGTTCGACCCCCAAAGGGGTCGCGACCCACAGGTTGAGAACCACTGCTCTATAGAGATTAACTCCATAGGAGCATAAAATGGAAATTTTTTAAATCACTCATTGCTAATAAGTACTTACCTACAGTCCATTTCTATTGAGAATACTGGGAAAATCAAGTGAGAGAAACTGTCATGGCCATTGATTACCCATATTTTAGAAGGAGGCTAATGGTACTTAAGTGATCTTCCCCCAGGTTTTACCCCATGCTCAGACTCAGCAGAGGTTTCTTTTTGTAAGATTGGCTTGATATTTGAATATACAAATAAATCTTCTAATTGGTTTCCACTTTGGAATGTGTTAGGCTTAGGAAAAGTACTCTTTGGATGTATATATTAGGAATACCTAGGAAACACAAGCACATACACACGGTACACATACATATGCCCACTATACCTTTAACTTGGCCTTCACTTACCTGAGTTGTGGGAAAGAACTTCAGAGCTTGATATTCTAATTGACAAGGGTCTCCCTTCTCTCTTACCTTGTGCTCTGCTAGCCCTCCATTCGCCTACAGTGTACTTACAGGTGTATTTTCCTCTCTTATCTACATACTGTCCTTTTCTCCATGTGATCACACATTAGTGTATTTGTTGCTTCCCAGACAAATACTGCTCTAGTGAGCACCAGGACCATAGAAGCCTGGAGGCAAAAGTATTTAAAATTTTTTTAAGGAAATTGTCAAATGGATCTTAAGCAGATGAGAAGGACAAAATGGTGAGCACCATCCTCTAGCATCTATCAAGGTGACTACTTTATAAAGCTAAATATAAAGGGCTGGAAGTCTGTAAGCAGGTACGGAATGAACACTGGATGTGAAGACAGAGAACACCACAATTACTGATGTTTAAAAGGCAATTCTTTTCTCAGTAATGAGGTGGTTTGAGTGGGGAACCTAGTTATTTAGGCCAATGATTCTTAAACTTTAAAAATCCAGACGCATGAACAGGCCACACCTTCCAATCAATTTTGAGTATGTGCTCAGATTTGGACATATATTTCATACGTACTCTTCAACATCCATACCTCCCTCTCTACCCCTGAGGATCATTATGCATATAATTTTTTTCCACTTTTAAAATATAAAATCACAACTAAATATGCTTGTCCAAACCATACATGTTCCTTCTGGCTCCCCTCATTCCCCATTCTGATGCATCCTTTGATTTTCTTTTTAAATTAAATTTATTAGGGATAATATTGGCTAATAACACTATAAAAGTTTTAGGTATACAATTCTGTAATACATCATGTGTATGTTGATGCATTCTTTTAAACTGTATATACTTTCCAGAGTGCTCCACCACTCATCCCTGATGAGCAGTGATTTTATCAAGGTCTGCTAGCCTTTTTTTTCTTTTTTATTGAATTTATTGGAGTGACATTGGTTAATAACATATAGGTTTCAGGTATTCAATTCTATAATACATCATCTGTATCTTCTGGCCTTTTAATGCAACAAAGCTCATTACATTTTGTTCATAAGCTTTGTGTTAGATATTGCCTCTGCAGTCATCTGAAATCCACAAATATATTTTTTCTTTCTGGACTTCAACACTTACTGGGCATTGTCCTAGGCTCTCTGTAACCAAATGAGGGACAGCATGGTTCTTCCACTCAAGAAACTTATAATCTAGTCTTCTTGTCAAACAACATTTGAACTGTTCCATTCCACGGGTGACTGGAACCAGTAAATTTGGGGCAAAATATAATATAACATCCTCCAAAACACCCATTTCTTCATTTACAGTGGTGGTGGTGGTCGTGATAGGGTTAAGTACTCCACTATTCAGAAAAATACAAGCTACTTTGCATTGCTGGAGTTCTATGCTATCCCTCCTCCATTCAGCTACATTGGTCAAAAGAGGAGTCAGGAAGAGTCTGAGGGAAGAATTCAATAACTTTGTTTGTTCATAGTGCACTCTACTGTCTATTTCTTTCTCTCTTCTCAGCCTCAGATCAACCTGTACTCGTGGTGGGTGGGAAGAGTGAAGTAAAGGTAAATAACACAAGTAGGGGGATATAAGGATGATGAGTATTCTTGAATATACAGGGAAATTTCTGCAGAATTAATTTATATATTTTATAAACCATTTCTGAAATAAACAACCTTGTTTAAGACCACAGTTAACTACCTTAAGGACATAGCACTAGCCCCACAAAGATGGTTGTTAGCTTCCAGGGTTAGTTGGGTTCCATTACATTATTATTTTGGTTATAAAAATTATACATGCCCATTATAAAGAAACACACCTGAACATAGCTAACAAAGAAAAATGTATGTGTAATTCTGCCATTTGGAGATAATCAATTTAGCGCTATTGTGAAAAATTTTCACTTTTGAATGTATGCATATGTAAATATGTGTGTCTAAACAAATTGTCCTGCTTTTTTAAACTTAACTTTATAAAGAGAACATTTTCCCATGCCATTAAAAATTCTTTGAAACTGTTTATAATGGTTGCGTAATATTCCATTGTTACTCCTTTACTTCTTGAGGTGGATGAGGGGATGAGGTCAGGAAGTGGGAGGTCATGGAAAGAATGATCATGGGCTCCTGTACCATAAAATGTACTGAAGAATAACAATCCAATGCTTATTATTTCTTTTAACTCAATAAA